TGGTTTTGCCTGTTTTGACCCGTGTATTCTTTACATGGTTTTGTCGACCCCGTACTGTGCGTTGATTGTGACTCACGCAGAAGAGGTTCGTGGCCCGGACTTGATGAATCAATTTTCGGATCCGGCAGCCATCCATGAGAACCTCAACCTGTTCTAGGGGTACCTCCCATTTCCATTCTGAACCCAGGGATCCGAATCTTTCTAGAAAACCACCAAGAACCTAGGGAAGTGGCTGGTTTTTTTAAAGAACGATGGTTGAACAGAATGGACAAGGAATCAACCCCTAGAACTGTTGCGTTTGTCGCCGACGTTCATTTTCACCGTCATTTTTTGTTTTTAAGATTTGCAGAACAAAACCCGTCGCGCTGGGCGTAGTAGTGCGCCATCTGAGCCCAATACCCGTTTTTTAGGGTATGATGTCAACCCTTTACACGGAAAGAGGTGTTTACCCGGGAACACCAAACAGTTGTTTTCCCAAAGATACTAAAACGGCTGGGTATTGGGAGCTTACGGCTGGGTAACCGGGGGATCCTAAATGCCCCTTGGTTCTGTGGGCTCTTCCTTCGTTCGGCCCCCTTGAGCAGTTTGTAGCTTCCCAGACGCTCCTGGCCCTAAATCAATCGGGAGCCTCTACCCGCAAATGGTGTTCAACTTGTGGCGTTGCTTGAAACCAAGTTAAACAACGAGTCGCAAGGCTGCATTTTATCAAACGTGATCCCAATAGAACCCATTTGTGGGGCAGCCTAGAACGCATTTGATGGAACCCATTTGCCAATGAACTTTAGAAAGGAAGCACCTCAAAGGAGGTTGGCGGACGTGACTCTCCACTTAAATGATGTCCACCAAACGGTCCCGAATTGAAACTTATGCCCATGTGTTGGCTTCCCTAAAACGGGTTCAACAGACAAGACCAAGACACTAGACACACAAACACAACAAAGAACCACCTGAAGTCTCCATGACCCTTTAAAAAATGGGGTCAGTAGCATAAATAATGGGGTCAGTAGCATAAATAATGGGGTCATGCACCCATTTTTAAAGGGTCATGGAGAGTTTAGGCAGACACACGCTCCAAAACCAAAGGAAACAGCGGGTCGCCAAAACCTCCGAAACCGGGCGCCGGGTTTTCCACGTGCGCCGCTCGCATAGGGCTGCTGGGCTTCTCCTCCTGCGTCAGCTGCAGCTTCCTGCGCACGGAGGAGAAGGAGGTGCAGGCGGAGTCGATGCCAGCGGAGTCGAAAGGGAAGGGGGGAGGGGGGTGCTTTGTTGACCCCGGATTAGTAAACCCCTGGTTGATGAAAAGGGGGGTAGGGAACACCCCCCTCTGAATGGGACAGGTTTATTAATTTTGGGTTAAAATTAATGTTGACAATATAGAATCCAGTGATGGGTTCCTTTTAAAACCAAGAGGGGAACTAATATCATTTTGTTTCAGCAAATGGAAGTTTAATGTTGACCCCATATCAATCAACCTGTGTATGAATCCTTTTACCAACTTTTTGGGGGGAGGGTTGCCCTACTAAAATAGACTACAGAAAAAAGTTGTTAGCCTTACTCTAACCTCTCTACTGGAGGACCTAGAATAGGGTGGTGTTCCACTCCCCCAAATAAGGAGAAAACAAAGTGGGAAGTCCCTGGGTGCAAGGTGGAAAATGTATAAATCAACAAAGCCCTGGTTCTTGTCGCCGTCCGGTTCCTTGGCGTTGTAGGTAGGGTAAACGTTAAACTTTTGGCAGCCCCACCAGGCATTTCCCGCTTAGTGGTTTAAAGGGTGGCAAGCCCCCCATCAGGCAACCCTTGGCTGTTGGTTTGAATTGGTGATTTTGGATTGGTGGTTTGGGCGTAAACGGATCTTATTAGAAAATGGAAAATTGGAAACCCAATGGGTTTCAAAGGGAAAACCAAAAGGAACGCCACCATTTTGGGGGGATCATAAAAAATACAACATCCACATCATCTTTGCCTTGTTGTTGCCAGTGGATGGCTACCGCACTATACAGGTAAATGGATCCCCCGGGTTGGCGGTTCCCAGCCGTCCGGTTTCTGCTTGTAGGGTTTAGCAGGGGATCAGAGAACGGACAGTGACCCCAGCTATGGGTAGAGGGGAAACCCGGAATCACCGAACTGTTGATAGCTTTTGCCAAGCACGCAAGTCGTGCCTGACTTTATATGTGGACATTGGAAAGGCATATCAAACTCAGTCAGAAACATCTGGTGGTGGGAGCCTCGTCTGGAAGCGCCACTGGCGGACGTCCTTGCGAAGCTTCGGACAAGTCAGAGGCTTTGGCCTAGCGCACACCCTGGCTGCCTGGGTGCGTGAGGGCCTGGGCAACGCTTGCCCCCAAAGTACTCCAAATACATGTATATTTTTGCAAGGGCGTTTCTTAGAGGCCTGGCTTTCCCGAGGACATACCGATCCCTTTTTAGTAAAGGGTCGACATACCATAGAAAAGGTGGGTGTGGGGTGCTTCGGCTGGGGCACTGAAGCCTTGAAGGCAGTTCTGCGGAGCTGATCATGCTTTTTGGTGGGGAGAGACCTCCCAGTGGCATGGCCAGTTGGGTCAATGCTAGGTCCCCCCAGCTAGGTGCCCTTTTACCAACTGCCAGCTTTTTTTCCGGGGAGGGTTCCCCTACTAAAATAGACGACTCAAAGAAGGGTACCCTTATTCTAAGCTCTCTACTGCAGGACCTAGTCAATGACTCCAAACTGGTTCCAACTCGTGTCCGATTGAGCAGCGCCCAACTCCCCCCGCCCCCCCCCCCACACACAAAAGGAAAGGAAGGAGGCCATTGCAATAGCTGTTTTCTACTGCCTGGGTTTCCATCTTAAAACCAAAAGTCAATGAGTGAAACGGGCGCTGCTCAATTCTCCTTGAACCTGTTATTTTTCTTCCATGTGCATAAGAGTATGTTTTGTTTCCGCGGTTGATTTTATGGGGAATCTGTCACTGCTGGAAATATGTCTATTGTTTCCTGGGGACTGCAAATGGATGAAGTTGATGTGTATTCTGTTGCCTCTTCCTCACCACAAGATGCCCGAACTGTTGGCCGGAAGAGGAGAACGTCCCTATAGGTGGCCGATTCTAAGTCAGATGGGTGTTTCTCAAAAGGGACCAATTCCTTCAGGTCGCAACGGTTTCCTTTGGTTTCCCCTTCAAAGCTTTCGAAAACGGGGATGCCGATTTTCAAGAAATACCCAGATTGGCTCAAAGTAGATGGCACTGCTTGGATTTTGGTTCTACTCATCCACCAGAAGGCCACCTATGGTTCCCTTTTGAAAGACTCGGGCTTTGGTTTTCTCTTATTCGAGGGCTTCCCCCTTAGAACTTGCTGGAGGTCTAGGACTACAACTGAAAATTCCAAACCAAACACAGAAAAGCGAAAGTGGCGCATCGCTTGCCGGTTGGTTTCAAACGGAATTTGAATGCATCATTATTACCTGGAGTCTCCATGACCCTTAAAAAATGGGATCATTACCCAAAATCATAGGGTCATTGACCCATTTTTAGGGGGTCATGGAGACTCCAGGCATCATGACTCCATGTTTTTCCCAGGGGGCTTCAGCAAATGGAAGCCCTCAAGCCGTCCCCCTGTCCCCCTGTTTGCCTTTGGCAGGTGGGTCAGGCGCAGGTGCAGGAGACGGAGACGATGCTTGGCACCTGGCGATCCACCCAGCGCAGCAAGACCAAGGCGAGAGTCGAGTGGAGTCGAGTGGAGGGGAGGTCCCCAGGCTTCCTTGCCCCTAGGCTTGCTGCCAGGGTTCCCCATCATTCCAGGGCTACCTTCCAATTCCATTCTTTCCAGGGATTCGGGATCCGAATCTTTTCAGGAAACCATCAAAAACCCAGGGGGAAACGGATCCGGTGTTTGAAAAGAAGGATACGATGGTTGAAAGGAATGGTTGGAATCAACTCTAGAATCATGTAAAACCTAGCAAGGAAGTCTGGTTACCTACTACTATAGTGGGAGCTGGAAGCAAAGCAGGGCTGTCTGTTTTTGAGACCCTCAAGGGTCCTTTTTCAAGGCTTGGCACGGAGAACCCGGTACACCCCGAGCAGCTGAAACGGGATGTCAAAAGGATCTATGGGAATGGGTCAAAATTAAGGCACCAGGGGACCGCAGGTTTGGGTCCATGGCTCCCCATTGCCAGATTCCATTTGGGGTACCTATTTTTGAACAGCCATATGTTGCGGCGCAGTATTCCATCAGGACTTTTGGGGTAGGACCGGTTGTTTTTTAGACTCCAATCATGGCACAGCGGTTTTCCTTTTGGTTGCCGTTTAAAGCCGCGAACAAAGGGGTGCCCTCGGAAAAGATACACCCTTGGTGATATTTGTTAAAGCGAAAGTACAGGGAGACCAAGCATGTTCCATTCGGCTGTTTTTGTTTAAGGGAAACTATAAGGAACCCGTAGCCATGTTCGTGTCTTTTTTTGACATATTTTTCTGCGGGTGCCTGGACCCAACAAAAGCGACCCTGAACCGGCAGCTCCGTGCGATAAGCCGCGACCAAAATTCCCCGTTCGCCAGGTGCAAGAGCACTTCTGGAACTGGACGTCCCAATGGCGTCTCTTCCTGGTGAACAGCTGCTCGGCTGGAAAGAGCCAACAGGAATTCTATGTCCCGGGTTTTCAGTGCCCGGGGGTGATGTTGCTCTTTCGTACGGGCGGGTTTCCCGTCCAACCTGGTCAAGCCCGAAAAGTGTTCCCTGAGGTTGAAACCAAAATTAAGATCAAAGGGGGCTAACATAGCCACCTTTTTTAACCCAAGGAGTTTCATGATCCAAATTGGGTCCTGGCCAGTCTTTTAATCGGGATTGAAGCGGAGGGTGTTCCCATTGGTTTCTGCCAGACACCTACATGAAAGGCTTTTTGAGACTTCGGCGCCTACTTTGCAATTCCCCGTAATTCGCCAGCGCAAGGCTTCCAGTGCCAGTTGCCCAGTGCTTCCAGGCAAGCCACGTATACACGTATACGTACAGGTAACCCGAAGCCATGTAACAAAAAACAGCCTGGAGCTAAGAAACCCTGGTGGCAAGCCTGCTACAGTTGTAGCTGGAAGTAGGGCTAAGAGCCTCGCAAGCTCGGGGGAGTTGGCATCGCTTGCGACTCAGGGTTCAAATTTTGACCCCAAGGCGGACCTTCTTTCCCAGGTGGTCGATTTCCGTCAAAGGAACACTTCCCGGAGTTTTTTAAGTCTTCCTGGAGTCTACTTCTGACAGTCAACAAGAATGGAGTCGTTGTTTACCCAACACTCAGGGGTCATGACCCCCTTTTTTAGGGTCAGAAGGAGACTGCAGGTATCTCGGCCCAGTGCGTCCAGGCAAGCCACTGTACCGGGTAGCCACGCACCATGGTTTCCCCTGGTTCCCCCGCTGCAGTGGCAAGCGCCTGGAAGCACTGGATGAAATCTGAGCCTTTTCTTTTGGAACCCTTTTTGCGTCAGAAGGAGACTGCCTGGAGTCTGCATGACCCTTTAAAAATGCGTCAATGACCCCATTAGTTTGGGTAATGACCCCATTTTTTTAAGGGTCAGAAGGAGACTCCAGGTGAAGGTAAGCCTCAGGGTGTTCAGCAAATGGAGCCCATGGCCACGCATCCATCCGGAGTCTTCCGGCAGAAAACCCCCGGTGGGCCGCGTGAGGCACGCTCGCTTCAGGGCACAAAGGCGATTGTGCCGATGCGCTCGAGAGATCCGGGGTCTCGGGGCTTCAGACAGATTTTCCTCACATTTTTGCTTCATGTGGATGGACCAACTTCTGCACTTCGTTAAACCATGGTTGAGACCATCACGTTTGTCGGCATTTCCAAGGGAATCGGATCAGAAACCAGGGTTCTTAGGTGGCGCGAAATGGGATTTTGTCCATCCACAGTACGTATGTTGCATATGTTTTATTTTTCCCTTGGTTTTAAAGGACACCTATATCACAGAGCTTCCCTATGCTTGTTTGAATTTCAGGGGAGATGTTTGTGTCCCCGGTTTCAAGGGGACCTCTTTCCGAGGGTCCTTAGGGTTCCTTTTGAGGATGGCCCTCAAAGGGGGTCATTCAAAAGGGGGGTCCTTTCGTATATCACTACCGGACATGCTTTTCACCCTGTAAGCTCCAAATACCCACGTGTTTTTTCAGAGTGTGGTTTTTAGAAAAACCACCTTTTCCACAAACAAATACCTCCTTTGTTGAGTAGATGGTTGACCTAATACCCTAAGACAAGCCTGGGTACTGGGTTGTTACAGGGTTTCATGGGACGTATGTTGCGGGCCCCGCGGGGTGTCTCCCAATTCCGAGGGCCCCGCGAAGTCCGACTGTCGCAACGCCCAAAGAGACCCGGGAATGATCATTCCGATGCCCGAAAGTCTTCGTACCAACAACTTACCTCTTAAAAACAGAAAACGTTTCTCAACTTTTTGGGTAACATGGGCTATATGTCTGTAAAAGATGAGAACTTCCCCAGGGCTTGGAGTTTTAAGGGGTAAGACAAGCGTTGTGGTTTCAACCGTGGCTTCATTTCGTGGCGCGAAATGGATTCTGTCCATCTACAGTGTCACGAAAAGGGGGGGCGTTCTTTAGGGTCTTGGGGTAGGATGTTTGAATGGTATGTTGCAACTGCGCGAACAAACAAATATATCATCCATACCTTCTTTAGGGTCTGAGGATTTCTTGCTTGGGGTTGCAACCACTTGGCCACCGAAGGTCTAGGGTTTCTTAGGGAGTCCCCAAGCTTACGTAGCCTCTTGGTCAGAGCGGAATTGGTTTCCCGAATTCAAAGCCCCTTTACCCTTTTTTGGGGGAGGGTTCCCCTACTAACATAGACCACAGAAAAAACAAGTACCCATATACTAACCTCTCTACTGGAGGACCTAGAAGTTGTTTCAGCCATTCTCACAGCCCATCGGAAAACCTCTTTCAGAGGATTGCCTTCGTCTTCTTCCCTTCGACTAGGATTGGTGAAGGAAGGGCGCCACCCTGTTAACATCAAGCGGTTCTGTCCCACACATGTTCACGGTAATTCAACCCCAGGGGGGTGCGTTCGTCCCCACAATCAAAGGACACTTGCCCCGGCAAGGATGAAGTACGGGCTCAACGAACCGTTATGCGCAACATTCATTGCCAAGCCCAGTGCTTCCAGTTACCACTATAGCAGTATGGCTACTTCTGTGTATGGCTACCAGAGAGTGGTAACTGGAAGTACTGGGAAAGACACACCCGCCCCAAGAGCGGACATTTCGCCAAGGACACATCCACAGCCAACGGTCGCAAAGCATGCAGAGCCAAACCTTGCAAACAGACCAGTCCAAGAGGGCTCTTTCGTCTTCCAAACCCCTCTGGCAGCCAGTGGATCCGCCTGGCTCTGCGGGTAGCCGACCATGTTGATTTATTTGTTCAAGGGTTCTCTAGTTGCCTACTTTGACACCTGCCTCTACTCCCAATACTTGGATTCATCACTCGTGCAGGGGACACCGCCTATTGATAGGACAGGTTTATGAATCCCGGAACTTGCTCCATGATAACCATACCTACCATTTTTGTTCAGGGGTTGACATCGTAGCCTAAAAAGTGGGCATGTGAAGTAGGACCGGTACCCGGCAGAGACATAGCCAAGTCTCAAAGACGCACCTTGAAGGGTCCAGTCTCAGAGTCCTGCATGGGTGTTCAAGCTTCTAGTTGTAGCCTCTCCATTCTTTCCAGGGATCCGAATCTGTTCAGCAAACCTTAAAGGATAAACCAGGGAAACAACTGTTTTTTTTTAAAAGAACGATGGTTGAAAAGAATGCGGAATCAACCCTAGAAAGCTAGTAGGATACGACCATTGTTTTCTAATGGCCTTACCCCCAGTTACCTCCCCTAGAACCAAGATAGTAACCGACTTGCTAAGTAGCTTCACCCAAGAACCCTTAAAATTCCTTTGGGCGTGTCCTTCTGTAGGGGCCCCACAAATTGTGGTCTTCCTTGGGTTTCCCTTTTAAGCCCACCCCAAAAGCGGGACCCCTACAAAGACACACACCCAACTGTTGCCCGCAGGCTCTCAGCTGAAGAGTCTGGGGGACGTCACAGAGGCCCCAACTGCCAGCGGCTGCCAAGACGCAGAGCTGGACATCTCCTGGCTGCTGAGGCGGGATGCGGATGGATTTACCCTCCTTCAGATGAGCCACTTGCTCAAAACCCGAGTAGATGAAGGTTAGTAAGGGGCAGTCCCAGCCAGAAATAGTTACGGCCGCCTTCTTAATTCTTGAAGCATGGTTCTGGGTAGACCATTTTAATACCGGGTTTCGAGTGTGACTCAGATGTCTCGGATGTTGGATTGACGGAGGCCTCTAGATTTGACCACATGGCTTCCCCTAGTTGCCTACTATGATGATCTATGGTAACTGGAAGCTGAGCAAAGGTCTACACTCCCTCAGACAAGCCGGGAGCTCCCAGGCCGATCCGGTCGATGGAACCGAGTCTTCCAAGCTCCTGGGAGCGAATCGCATGGAATCGCCTGGGGGAGGGTAGTGGCGGTAGTGGATAGAACTCTTCACTTTGGGTAGGGCCAAAATGATGGGGTGATTTAGGGGCAGTGGTTTCGTGTCCAGACAGGTGCTTTGGGCAACTTGGATGTTCAGCCAACTTTTCTAAGGAGCATGATCATGTAAAACCAAAAGGGAAGAAACCCTGGTTACCTGCTCAGGGCTCCTTAAAAGATACATTTTGCCCATTTGAAGCATGGCTTTTTCCACCAAAATGAAGGGACACCACCATTTACAAGTTGCAATGTTCAGGTGTATGTAAGGATCCCTGTTGCTATAGTGGCAAAATGCCTGGAAGCACTCTGCTCGTGACCATACCCTGGGGTTCACTCGGTAAATCATGGTGGCTCCCAGTCGTCCCCCTTGGCTTTTTTGCTGTTGAGGGTTTAGTGGTTGGGTGTCCATTGAACCCCCCTAAAGTTGAACTCACATTTAGCAGTGGATCAGAAAACGGACAGCCCAGAATACTGGTGGTTAGATTAACCCAACTTAGATGGTCTGGGACGAATCGCTAAGTGGTTAGTAAGCCTAGTTGTAACCCATTTACCTTTAAACAATGGGGTCAGTACCCAAATTACCGGGGTCACTGACCCATTTTTAAAGGGTTATGGAGACTCCAGGTAGTTATATTCACCCAAGCATTTTTGTTTAATGGTTTGAACCCGAATCTCCTTCCCACTAGCATGGCAACTGAGAGGCGGTCCCTTCAAAAGGAAACTAATCTTCCAGGTACCTCCCCTGATCCATGTTAGTTGGAGGAACCATAGTTGTACCCTAGTTGGAGGAACCCATTTACCTAGTTGTACCCAAGTTATATTCACCGAAGCATTTTTGTTTAATGGTTTGATCCCTGCATTTGCTAGGTCCTCCAGTAGTGCCCCTTTACCCTTTTTTGGAGGAGGCTTCCCCACTGGAGGACCCATAAGTTGTTTCAGCCATTCTCGCAGTGGGAAAACCTCTTTCAGAGGAAATTGCCTTAGTCTTCTTCCCTACAGTCGACTTGGATTGCTGAAGGCAGGGAGCCACTCTGTTGACATCAAGCGGTTCTGTCCCACCCGTGTTCAGGGTATTTGAACCCAAGGGGGGGTGCGCTGCATCCCAACAATCAAAGGACACTTGCCCCGGCAAGGTTCGACTTGATCCGCACGGGATCAACGAACCATTATGCGCCATTTACCCTTTTTTGGCGGAGGGTTCTCCTACTAAAATAGACTAACAAAAAACAATAAGGTACCCTTATTCTAACCTCTCAAATCTGGAGGACCTAGTCCCTGACGACCGGGTTGAGGGAACCCGCCGCGCCACCATTTCTTCGGCCGGAGCGAGGCTGCGGCACCGCGGCGCGGCGTTTCTGGTGAACCGATCCAGGCAGAGCTGCCGCACCCCGCGCCGCAACGAGGAGGTCCAGGAGGGGGTGGGACGCGTGTCCCCCGTAGAGCCCCCAAGGTGCCACCGCCCTTTTTTTTTTGGGGGGGGGGGTTGGGAGGGTTCAACCCGACTTAAAATAGAAAAACTGGCCATGGTCCCCCTGTCGTGCCCGCTCTTTCACCCCTTTTTTTTGGGTTGGGAGGGCCTCCCCTAACTAAAATAGACAAAGTACAAAAAGTTGGCACCCTTATTCTAACCTCTCTACTAGAGCACCTAGGAGCCAGGAGAGACGCAACCAGGTCGTTGGCTACCGATTACCAGGGCGATATATTTGTTCAAACGTTCACCTGCAGGGTTGTGGGGATCACTCGGGGTTTATCCCCACTTTTGTGATACAAGTTGGAATCCCCCCCAGTGCTTCCAGGCAAGCCACTATAGTAGGTAACCAGGGGAAACCATGATGTAAAACCTAGAGGTAGCCATACTTGGTTACCTACTATAGTGGCTTGCCTGAAAGCACTGGGCCCCCTTTAGTCCCTTTATTTGGTTCGTCTTTAGGAAGCCCTTCATGTTGTATCCCACTATCCAGGACGTGTGCGGATCGGAGAGACGCTCCAGGTCATTGGTTGGTCCTTGCTTGGAGCCTCTGAAATTACCCCTACTGGTCTAATATGGTTTAAGGGGAAGCCATGCGTTGAGGAAAAACGACCTCCATTTGTTGGAGGGTCCGCTTAGAAAAAAGAAGAAAAAAACACGCCCGTTGGGCTTGTTTTGTCTCGAAGGCATTCCGGACCTCCAGGTAGGTACACTTTTTGAAGCACCAAACACGAGTTTGCCTCTTTTGTCTTGAGCGCACCCTCCCCTCCACGTTGCCATGGAACCCAGAGGGTCCCTTTCAGGAAATGCGTCTTCCGGGTCCCTTTCAGGAAATGCGTCTTCCAGTGTTTGATTTTCTCTGAAGTTCAAGCAGGGTGGAAGCTTCAGCCACCATACTTAGCATCCAGGTGAAATCAATGGTCGTTTCAGATGTACCCGGAGGATCATAGTCAGGGGAATCCCCCCAACCTCCATTTCAAAGCTTTTTGGGTGTGGTCTTAGAGGGCCAGGGAAACCAGGCAGAACCATGATGTAGTTCCTATAGAGGTAGAAATGCCTGGTCACCCACTACAGTGATAACTGGATCCGCAACTTTCAGGAGGGGGGCTATTTTTCTGCTTGGTTCGTTCACAAGCTTGGCGATCATGGGCCATCATGGGGGCAAACAAGTGACTCTACCCATGGAGGTCCAGCTTGGATTCCTATTTTCCGGTGTGAGAATCAGAGCTTGTGCAAAAAAACATGATGGGAAGCCGCCAAGGTGTTTCCAGGCGGCTTGCGGTGGAGGCAAACCTTCGGACCACGTTTCTTCACTCGAGGTAACTGCATGGGTGTGTCTTTCTTGGAGGCTCGGACTCTTCTTTCGTGTTTTACGAGATCACCAAGAGGAGAAAAGAAGGAGAAAATAAACATCATGGTTCTTGTTTTGGGGGGGAGGGTCGCCGTTTTCTTTGTTATTGATTTTGTTTTGTGGTTTTAGTGAGTAAATCCCTGATGGCTTCCCCTAGTTGCCACGATTTTTGTGTAGGACGGTTTCTTTTTGACGCCGTCACGCATCCAAGAAGGGCTTTTAAGCTGGTTTTGCGTATAGGTTTCCTGCGGAAGGAGAAAAAAAGGAGAAACAAAACTGAAAGAACAAAACGAGAAACAAAAAAGAGAGGGAGAAAAAAAACAAAAAACAACACCAGCTTTTTGCCATGCACAGTAAGCTATGTCATGATTGAGTATAGAAAAAGGTACAGAAGTTCATTAGCAGATGCTTACGCGACAACATTACACAATTATAGGGGTTTATTCCCCATTCTTTTCAACCATCGTCCTTTTCAAAATAACAGCCGTTTTCCCCGGGTTTCCGGAGGTTTTCTAGAAAGAAGGATCCCTGGAGAGAATGGTTGGAAGGTAATTCTGGAATAATCGTTTGTTTTAATGGAAGCAGTGCCCCCCGCCCAGGAGGGAAGCTGGTCGAACATTCAGGTCCTCACGCACAGCTTAAGTATGTTAAACACATATGTTTGATCATGTAAGAATGACATATTGTCCTTTCTCAGACCTAAACTTTTTTTTACGCCTACCTGCTAAGGACCTGCTACTATAGCGGATGCAGCCATGATGAACAACTTTGTTGTAACACCATTATCACAGTATGATCCTGGTTTTTAGACATCATATCGCAACCTATGCTCAGAAACATCAGCTAAACAACACACCTATGGTCATTGCCACACTCAACCAACCGCTTTGCGTTTTGGTCCTTGTGGCTTTCCTTTGTTTTGAACCCGCCAAATATAAGGGCTTTTGTATTACACCCTGGGAATACACCCACTGGGTATTGACCCCCATTTAGGCACATTTCCGGATAAAACCGTGTTATTTTGAGCCATTCTGGGTCATTTCCCAAGGGTGTAAGCCCAGGGTGTAATACACAAATCCTCAGAAAGCAGGGGTCCACTCGTGCCCAGCGGCGAAGACGAGGAGGCTGTGTCATTCTTTCAGCGACTCACCGTCTTCGCGCGGAGAGCGGTGGAGCTGCTGCGGCCAGGCGAGCGGCGAGATCATGGGTGTCCTTTTTGGTGCGGTTTGCTTGAAAAACATAGAGGGCGATTCCTGGTTTAGATGGGATTTCTTGACTGCTATTGGGTTGGATCTTTAGACTTTAACTTTTTGGGAAATCAGGGGGTTTTCCACTAAACCCCCCAACAAGTTCAACTTTTTGCAGGGGGGTCAACAGCCAGGTTTTTTCCATGCAATGTACCAGGGACACCCATCTATTTTTTCCATAAGGCCATGGGCGAGATGCTAGGAGTGAGTTTACCCTACGCCAGTGCTTCCAGGCGCCTGCCAGCTTTTTATATGGGTACCCCCCCCCTTGGGTGTGGCTTCCAGGTGTTACATCATGACACCCCTCGCCCGGGCCAAGGGTGACTATTACAGTCTATAGTGTTGTGGTCATAGAGGCATCCTGGTTACCTGCTGTAGTGGCTTTCCTGGAAGCACTGGGGATGGCAAAGATTGCTGCTACCGATGGAATTATGTGATCTCAAGGCACCAAATAGGCCGTTTTAGCTGATCGGGAGTGTACGGGGACCATGACTTCTCCATAACCTAGGTTACTTAAACTTATTTGCAGCCTGATTTTTTCGTTCAGCGTGTGGGGAATCAATAATCCCGCTTGTTTAGTCTCTGGACTTGAGTCACTTCTTGATTTTAGCGGCAAACAGCAAGTTTGAACTTTGGCCAATCCTCTCAGAAAGCGAGAAGTACTCTAAGGATATGGCAACTTTCAATTGCCGAGTCCTCAGGAATCAGAACAGACGGGGGGATGCGCTGGGCAGCGGTTCAGGAGGGAAGTTTTCGGAGGCTTCCAGAGGGAGCTCCGCTGTTGGGTCCCGATACCAGGAAGGCTTATATTCTTACATGGGTCTGGGTATACCGTGGTAAGGCACTGCAAGTATTTGGGAAATCAAGGTTGACTATTTAATTTCCACTGGTCTTGACCAAATGGAAGTTTTTAGGACATCATGGAAGGTGCTGCTGGCTTTCTGGCGCAGAGCCGTTGATTTTTTTGTTGGGTAGAGGTCATCAACTTGAGATGTGGCATCCGGATGCGCCATGTGGCTGTCAAACATATGTACCAAAATGGCACCTTGGTAAATGGAACCAACGACTAAAACCTGCGTATCCCTAGCTGTTTCATTTTGAGCCGCACCCATTCAGAGACCCTGAAAGGTGCCCCTTGGCTAAGGTGCCCTTTGTAATTTTGCATACTGCTTCCGCTGTTGCAATGTTAGGGGATGGGCTGTAGCAGTTTAGCTCACTGTCGGACGCTGCCATCACGAGCAACTTTGAAGCCCAAAAGTCCAAAGGTCAAGAGTTTCAGTTTGGCCCGCCTTTGCTAGGTCCCCCAGCAATTGGTGCCCGACCTCTCACCCCTTCTTTTGGTTGGGAGAGTTCCCCTAGTCGTCGCAGTAGTGCCCTTTTACCGTTTCTTTTTTGGTTGGGAGGGTTCCCCTACTAAATTAGACTACAGAAAAAAGTTGGTGCCCTTTTTCTAACCTCTCTACTGGAGGACCTGGTTTACACTAGGGTGAAAGCAGACCCTCAAGCTGCCCACAAAAATGTGACACCACCCCAACATAATGGGGTGGTTTCCTTTCTTAAGGGGCAGTTTGAGTGTCCATGTGGCACTTTTCCCGGTATGTCCATAACTCAAGGGGATTAAGTTTGAATGAACCCAGTGCTTCCAGTTACCACTATAGCAGGTAACCACGGGACACCATGATGTAAAACCTGGAGCTGAGAAACCCTAGTTACCTACTGTGGATGGACAAAATCCTGCACCACTTTGAAACCATGGGAAACCATTCTTTATTGGTATTTGCTGGGGAATCATCATTCCAGGGTTTCTCAGGTGGTGCAGGATTTCGTCCATCCACAGTATCACAACCAGATGTAACACCTAGAGCCAAGAGACCCGAGTAACCTAGTATGGTAGTAACCAGAAGCACGGAGGTTGTGCCATTTGTCACCCAAGCGTGCCCTTTTACCGTTTCTTGTTTGGGGGAGGGTTCCCCTACTAAAATAGACTACAGCACAGAGTTGGTACCCTTCTTCTAACCTCTCAAATCTGGAGTACCTAGCATTTGTCACCCAAGTGTGGCAACAGAATCCATCCGCTTTTGTCAAAAGCTCAGCTCTCTCGAGGCGATGGCTCCAGCGACTGGGCTGCGGAGCTGGAGGATGCGCGCAAAGCGTCAGGCGTGGTGGACGTTGTTGGGTCGAGGTTTGGGGGCGATACCTCCATTTGCTGAAATGAACATGTTCTCACTTCCTGAGTTCGTGAACCTCAGTTGTTCAGTCGCATCATTTTTCCCTTCTTTTTTTGGTGGCTGCCCCACTAAAATTGTCTTTCCCAAAAAAGGTTCCCTATTTTTCCAGGGTCACTGAACAACTGAGGAACTTTAAACTTTTTGAGAAGACCATTTTAGTGGTAAATATAAAGTTTGGACCTTTTTTGGGCCATCCACTCAGCAGGTGAGTGTTTTATTTTCCCTTGTTGGTTTAAAAGGGAATTTATCACTGCTGCCTGGACATATTTGATTGTTTTCGCGGGGGCTTAAGCAAATGGAAGAATATGGGAGCCTAAACAAGTACTCAGACGTGCCCAGCCATCCTGTTATTTAGGTTTCTAGGCTTTGGGGGGTTTAGTGGGAGTTCAGAAAACGGAAAGCCCCGAACAGAAAATAGTTTCGGGTACTTTAAAACCACATTTACTCATGATTACAGGAGAAGACTGTTAGTCCCAGTCCCAGCGCTTCCAGTTACCACTATAGTAGCTAACAAGGTATGGCTACCTCTATAGGTTTTACATCATTGTTTCCCCTGGTTACCTACTATGGTGACAACTGGAAGCACTGGGAGTAATTCTGCAGCCCGTTTATTTACATCTTTCTACTGATTGATTCCAACCACTCTCCTCACCCATCGTTCTCAATAGAGGGAGCACCGATTTTCAACCAGGCCTGACGAGCATAGAAATGACAGGTTCAGCCAGAAACACGCTTACCCGCACACCCAGCGTAAGTCGTAAGGGAATTCTGTTGTCTATGGTGCATATGGGCCTTCTGACCCCAAAAATGGGTTGCCGAGAAACGTCTCACCAGGGGGCTGTTTTGTTAGCAACAAGGTCATACACTTCCCAAATGGGGTTTACTGTGTTAACCGATGAACACACCAAACCATGGCCGAGTTGACCCAACTCGGCCGGAAAAATAGAAGAAGCAACAATAAAAAATACACGTGCATGTGTCTCGAAGTTGGGTTTCCTGTAGGTTTCCCAAGGTCCAAGATGTTACGAGTTTCACCTTTAGGTTCCCTTGCAAAACAAACACAAACACACTCAGGCAGGGATGCCGAGCCTCAACAAAAAGCGAAAACGTCCACGCGTGCCCAGTGCAGATGTTCAAGCCGATCCTGGCTCTCTTTGCTCTTGAGAACAATGCCATGTGCTCAGCTCCGTCGGTCGCCGATCGCCGACCTCAATGGAAGCCTGGCGCAGTCTCCCGGTTTTTGTTTCCCCTTTTTTAAATACAAATAAATATATATATATATATATATATAATGGGGATCAAAGAAAGGAATCTCAAAGTACAACACTCCCCGGCTAATCCCAATCCCAGGTCCCTACCTATAGTACCTATAGGTAGCCCTTCGCCGGTGGCCTTTTGATTTTAGCTGGTGCCTTTGGGAACGCACAGCGAAATGGAAAAGAACTGGGAATGGGAATGCCCCTAAAACAGCTCACTTCCTGAGTTCATGAACTTTAAACTTTTTGGGTTTGGACCATTTTAGTGGTAAATAAAAAGTTCGAACTTTTTTTGGGCCAGTCAACTTGGGAAGTGAGCCTAAACATGTTTCACAGCAAGGTGCCCATTTTCTGACGTTCTGCATGGGCCAAAGGCAACGCCCAGTGTTTGATTTTCATATTTTGAGGTCGCCTGAGTTAAGAGAACCTGTCTAAGGGGTCCCTGCTTTTGAGATCCATGTGCTTATTCGCACTTGTTTCTGTTGACTATGACTTTGGAGTGATGGTTGACATTCAAGCGAACATGGGTGTGCTGGGTGTGTTGCGTATCAGTCTAGGCGAATACATGTCTTATGCGCGTGGATTTATGAGGAGCCAACCACGTGCCTTTGAGTAGATGCCTCTGCAATACCTGGCGGCTCAAGTGGTTCTGTTGCTTTTTCGTGTTATAGGGATCGAGCCCGACTCTCAAAACTTTGTTGCATTTTGCTTGGATGTTAGGACTTTAACTTTTTGCCAACTAATGGGTTTTCCATGAAACCACTAAAAGTTAAACTTTTAGCAGGGGATCGGAAAGCAACTGAGTAAAGTGGTGGACATGAATTCCCGAATAATGTACAAAAGGCGAGGGTACCTTTTTTCGGGTTCTACTACCTTGGGACATGTGGGACTTGTTTTTCAGTGGGGCTTTCCCACACATGTTGGGGGAGAGGAGCGTGTCCCTGTAGTTTTACTTTTAAACCAGCCTCATCGAGGATACCATCAAGCAGAGTTTCGGCACATGAATTTCAATGAGGAAGCCCCGTATTGCGGATCTGGCGTTTGGTTGAGGGCTCTTTGGGCTTCATCAATCACGGCTTCCTCATAAATCCGCAATGACTCGCTTGCCCAAAGCGAGTCGACCTGAAATGACCTTTTGGTATCTCGTTTTTGGAAACCAAGTTGAGTGGCCCCCAACGGTGATCACCTTTCATGGCGTAAGGGGCAAGTGAGATGAGGTACCAAGGGCCCCTCTGGGGTTTGGGGCTTGAAGTTCCCCTCTGAGACAACCCATGGTTTCCTAGGTCCGCAGGTGCCCTTTCTCTTCCCTCTTTTTTGGTTGAGAGGCTTCCCCTACTAAAATGGACTACAGAAAGAAGTTGGTACCCTTCTTCTAATGCCTCTACTGGAGAACCAAGGTCCCCACTTGGAACATGCACATTTTGAGGCCTCCGGACGGCCAGTGCTTTCGGTGCCTTCGGCGTGCAACCTCGGGATCGGGAGGGGTCCCTTCAAACTGGGTTTTTTGGTGATAACCCTTTCGGGTGTGTGTGTGTGAAAGAGAAACCAACAGGAAAGCCACTATTCTGGCAGTTCCCTTGTTTTGATATGTCCTGCAGGAGACCCTAAACAGGGACTATAGGGGCGCCTATATTCCCCTTGCTGATTTTTGGGTTTAAACATCACATTGTTGGGCATGGCATTCATGTTCACCATCATTCAATTGGCAATTTCAGAGTGCTATTTTGACGGATCCAGCTTCTTCTTCTTCAATGGCGGTTGGGTTTGCTGTTCAATGGCGCATGGTTTTCTGTTGAAAGACGGCCGCCATTGGAGTTTGGTTCACCATCAATGTATGGAGTTTGCGATGTAGAAACGGAGCTAAGGCTTGGAACTATGTTCCATGTCGACCCCCCATTGAACGGCAATCCAAAACAGCACCTGACAGAAAGCTTCTTTTGGTTTGTGTTGGCGTGCGTTGAGTTTTACCCTAAGGGGGCAATGGCAATGTCCATTGAAAGGGATGCGGAACAAGTGCAATTTTGCACGCTGGGCTTAGGAAAGGCATGACCTTTGGTCTTTTAAAGTGAGCGTCCTCTGGCTGTGATGTAAGGGCGAACATTGTGGGTGCTACAGTACCTACAATGATTGCAACCATTTTCTTTTCCCTAAAGGGTACCAGAAAGGCATGTGTTTGTTGGATAGCAGACCTACACCCGGTCATCCCCGTACCTGACGGCAAAGTGAGCGGGGTCCCTCCGAAGGAAGTACAAAGACATCAGCGAAGGTTCCGAAAACATCTCAGTCCTTGAATTCACCTAGATCCTTGGCAGCGCCAAAAGGTCACCACGGATGTTTCACCTGGGATACATTTTACATTTTACCAGTGACTCAAAGTGAAGCAAACAATAAAATGTACATTCTACAACTGGACCCAACTCTAATCATCATTCCAGGGTTTCTTAGGTGGTACAGGATTTCGTCCATACACAGCAGTGCCACCCCTGATTGCTCAAGGCGCAGCGGATGTTTGCCATGGTCAAACTTTGCATGGACCAATCATTAGGTTTTCAGCAACCTTGGGAGGTTCTCGAAGCGAGGGCCCCCTAGAATGTTGAGGTCCTTTTGGTGTCCGTTGCAAATGCAACAAATGCCAAAAGCGGGTCGATTCACCACTTTACTTCCTGAATCCTGGACTTCAAACCTTTTGGGAAGATCATTTCAGTGGTAGACACATGGTTTAGATTTTTGTTGGCCCATCCATTCAGGAAGTGAGACACTCATAAGCAAAAGGGGGTCCATTCACCACCTTGAGAAACACTCATTAACAAAACCCTGGTCTCTGATGATTCCCCTTGTAAATACCAACGAACAATGGCTTCCCATGGTCTCAAAGTGGTGCGAAATGGATTTTCTTCACAGTAAGGACTTGGAATTATAAAGCTTGAGCCCTCGACTAAGGCGGATGTGGACACTGTACTGGACGCTTATCAGAAGAGTTTGGATGACAAGCTTCACACCATCGAGAGGAGGGGGAAGAGTTGACAGAGTCGGACCAACTTTGCGGTTCTTGGCAAGTGTTCGGTTTTGTTTTTGTTTTTTGTGTGTGAGTCTGTGCTTTGTTCATTTTCAGTAGCGGGAAGCACAATAGCAAAGTCTTTTGCTACCGTACCAAGGGTTGCGAAGGAAACCCGGTTTGAGCAGTGTGTAAGCATTCATGGTGTCATCAATTCCTATTATTGTCCCTTGAACTCCCTCAGAACCAATGTATAACTTCGGGTACTCCAAATATGAAACAATCTGGACGTATGCGTCGGAGTACCCCATATTTGGGCCAAGGATCTGGGAGCAATGTGATCCTAGTTTCCAGGTGTTTTGCCACTATAGCAGGTAACCAGGGGAAACCATCAATGGTAAAACTTATAGGTAGTCATACCTGGTTACCTACTATAGTGGCTTGCCTGGAAGCGGTGGGTTATGTAGAGGAAACAAACTGTTCGGTGGAGTATCTGCGCATCCATACTGCGGATGGACGAAATCCATTTCGCACCATCTTTCAAATTCCCTGGTGTCTGATTCAATTCCCCTGTAACTACCAACACATGTAATGGTTTTAACCATGGATTCGTTTCGTGGTGCGGAATGGATTTCGCAACAGTAGCTCCAAAATGTGTCTCAATGGAAATTTGCCAGCTTGGAAGGGAACCACCCTGAAGCCAAGGGCCGTCTTGATATATATTTTTGAGTTGGTTCCCCCCCTTTTTCGGTGGTAAGCCCAGTGCTTCCAGGCGCAAGAGCGAGAAAAGCAGGTAAGCCTTTGGTATTTTGGTTTGTCTACCTCTAGGATTTACCATGGATGGTCTCCCCTGGAAACTCGTGGCAACTGGAAGCACTGGCCAAAAGCAAACCCGAAACCATTTTGACGGTCCGAGTCCGATTCGCAGGCACAGCATCTGAACTTAAAGTGCGCAGCTCAGCAAGCCGGCTATAGCTCAGTTGGTAAAGCATCTGACCGTGCATAGCTTGGGACCTCTCCAAACAGTTGGCTTTATGTATGCTGGTGCTGCTAGCTCGAGATTCAATTGTGATGCCCTTGCATGCTTACAATGGTTACCATGGTTTCAAAGTGGTGCGATTTCTGGATTTCGCAACCATCCACAGTAAGTCTTCATCGTTGTTGGGAAACATTTTACATTTTTGCTTATTGTGGTTTAGTGGGAAATCCCCACTCAACTGCTCAAAGTTAAACTTACCTCTTAAAAACACAACTTTTCAACTTTTTGGGTAACATGGGCTATATGTCTGTAAAAGATTAACTTCCCCAGGGCTTGGAGTTTTAAGGGGTATATAAGTAAAAACATGCTTGCTCCCCTAACCCAACGTCAACCAAGATGTGTCAAGTTTGCTGGGGCCGCCGAGCTGCGAGCTGCGAGCTGCGTTGGATCTTCAGGAGCGAATCCGGCGGATTGGCGCGGCTGGTGCTGCTGCTGACGGTGACTTGGAACTGGGAAACCGTGCTGGTTCTCCTTCCATTTGCTTAAGATCTTGTGTGTGTGTTAAAAAAATGTTTGAAAACAAAATGTTGGTTTAAAAGGGAATCTTTCACTACTAGAAATAGTTTGGGTTCTCGTTTTCTTTTATTTGACTGGGTTGACTTCGCTCCTTGGCTGATTGTTTTGAAGCAACGTGGCTCTCAGAGAGAATCAGGGCTTTTCGGAACTAAGCTGTCCAGGACACCAGTTGGCCGTGGGTCAACACCAATGGGATCCCATTTTGGGGTAGGTGCACCACCCATTTTAGTCTATTTTAGTGGGGATTGGGATGTTCACTGGGGGTACGGGGTTTTGACCCATGGCCAGTTGGACGGTTCAGTTTGGGGGTCATTCCAACTCATTCCATGCGATCCAGCAAGAAACAGTGTACCCTCTTTGAGTCGACTGAGCACATGGTGCTTGTCCACATGAAAGCCAGGCCGGCCACGCACGTGTTCGGTGGTTGCTCTTTCAGATTTGATACCATTACCCCTTTCTTTGACTTGGGGCCAAAGTCTAAGTTCATTCTTCCCTGAAACTTAAACCAAACGGCATAGTATGTGGTCTATGTTTGGTTCGGGGCATGCGGGCAGCTGAAAAAAGTCAAGCACGAAAGTCAATGGGGATTCTCTATTTCAAGAATTCACCGGGAAGGTGAAACAATATGGCGAACCTAGTCTGTATGTAGGTCAACCCCAGAAATGGGTGTTGGAACTTCAAGCGTTGTCCCCTTTTCACGAAACACGTGCACAAACCTTTGTTGAAGGAAGAAGTCTTCCAACCATAGCACATGAGCCACACTCAAAACCCAAGTAGACTCAGGCATGCCCAACTATGGGGTATAGCACCTTAAATACCAGCTCACCAAGGCTAGTTCAGCTCTAGGGTTTTACATGAGGCCTTCCCCTCGTGGGAACTGGAAGCACTGGGTAAGGTTCGTCCAACCTGATTTGTTTCAGTGCGTAGACCCCCTAAGGAAATGGAGAGCCTGTCATTACAGATGATGTCCGCTGTGGATGCCTTGGAAGGCAGGATGTGGAAGGCGAAAAGTGGCGGATCCAGTTTTCTTTCTTTTTTCCATTTGCTCAACAATATGTGTGTGTGTTTTTCATTTTTCCCTTGTTGGTTTTAAAGGGAATCGCTTTCACTACTGGATGGTTTTGTGCTTTCCCGGGGGCGAAAAACGTATGTTTTGGCGCATCCAGGGAGTGAGGGAACCAACCTCCAAAAGGCCCACAAGCTTCCCTTACCACAAGTTGGCATCCTTGGGTAGTTGGAGGGTCCAGGTGAAGCGAATCGACCTTTTGACCTTGTGGTTTTTGCTGGTTTGGGCCATCCCAAGAGGCCAGCCTATCATTTCTGCCTGCGTTCTTTGCGCACGTGAGTTTCAGATTTCGAAATTACAGCCAGGGTCAGAATCCTAGACCATGCTGCTCCCTTGGGTCTCACTCCGCGGATTCTTGGACTTTAGTCCCTTCTGAGGAAGACCATTTGTGTGGCAATCGTTTGAGTGGTACACAAACAGTTTGGACTTCTCATTGGCGACAAAACACCAAACGACCCAAAGCAGAAGCAAGCCCCAAGCCAAGGCGTTGCGGAGTTTTGATTTGACCTGCTTCCCTCTTGACTCTTCTCGCACTCGAGTTGCGTCTCCAGCTCGGACCACAAAGAGAAACACGCCGTAGGGCGCCTGGTCTGTGTGGTGGATGTCCTGCGGAAACTAGCCTCAAAACAAAGACGGGCAATCACGGGCACGTGTGCTTTTGAGGCTCAGTACTTGTTCAGGTTAATAGGCAAGCCAAAAGGACAACCGCCTCTTTTCAGGTTGGCTAAAAGGGAAAACCTTCAGGACAACCGAAAGCAAGCATTTTGTTTGGCCCAGATCCCAGTTATTTGTGAGATACCTGCATGGAACCTTAGATAGATGGACTATTTCTTTCAGGGAACTGTCAGTTTCCTTGGATTTGTGTTGTGGGTGCAACTCAGAGTCACTATGAATGTGATTCGGCCTCAACTTGGTTGGTCCCAAGAAAAGGAAGGGCAAGACAAACAAGTGAACCAAGTCACCAAAACAGCGGCACAAAACACCCTTTCTTGGGGGCAACGAAGTGTCTTGAGCGTACCCAAGGACACCAAAAGGATACCAAACATTTCGGAGGTCCCGGATTTTTTGCCACTTACGCTCCGCAGGGAGCTAAGGGAGGTGAGTTTGTCTCACAACTCCCCCGAACTGGTTGTTTCCTCTTGACTTCCCTTTTAGACCACCAAAACAGAAGGTACCACCTCAAAAGTGGAAGGTGGACATGAATCCATCATGAATCCCCACCTAAATCCGAAGACCAGCAAAGGGTCCCCAGTCAAGATTCACACCCTTTACCACCCTGTATCACTATCAGAAATCGTCCTTTATATTTGTTTTGTAGATTACCCCATCGTTTCCCCTTGCTTCGTGAAGGACTCTCTTGTCCAACGCCAACCTTTGACCTTTCGGTTTCCATTGTTTGGCCCATTTTTTAGTGGCCTCGAAAGGTGATCGCCTTTCATTTCTGGGTCCCGAAAGGGCAAATGAGACGCAGTGCTTCCAGGCAAGCCACTGTTGTAGGTAAGCAGCAAAAACCGTCCTGTAAAACCTGAAGGTAAGAAAGCCTAATTGCCTGCAGGAGAGGCTTCCACACCCACCCACCCACCCACCCACCCGCCCGCCCGCCCGCCCACCCACCCACCCACTCACTGCCTGGAAGCACTGGGAGAGGAAGCAAACTTTTCTCAACTTCGCATACGTCGCTGACGTAGGGATGCTGTACCAGCAGCTCACCAGCGCGCTCGGGAAGTCCATCCACAGCTCGGACTTCGGCGCCGTAGCTGCGTTTTTGTTTGTTTGTTTTGTTTTGTTTTTCTTCGGTTTTGGGTCGTAATTAGGTACCTGGAGTCTCCTTCTGACCCTTAAAGAATGGTCATGGCCCAAAATAATGGTTGGTCATGGACCCATGTTTAAAGGGTCATGGAGAGTCTAGGTACTTGAGGAGGCGATCGACATCCATTTGCTTCAGATTGTGTGTGATTTCCGCTGTTGCTTATAAGTGAAGATTCTCCTTTTACGTATAAACGGAAGATTCCCATTTTGTTCTACTGGAACACCTTGCTGGTTCTTCTTCCATGTGCATCTCAGAAGGTCTTGTGTTGTCCCCTGTTGGTTCTCAAGGGAATCTATCACTGATGGATATATTTGTTCATTAGTTCCAAACGACTTAAGCAAGTCAAGTTCGTAAGTGGTTGCTAACCCAGTGCGAGAAAAACAATTTACTCGGCTATATGTGCCCGCTCAGTGGGTTACAGCCAGGGTTACCAACCACTTACTAAGTATGCCTGCCCCGTTAAACACTTGGTACTTGGTACCTGCAAGGGGTCTCCATTTTTCAAAGGCCCAAGGTTTGGAGGTGTTTTTCAGGGATTTTGGGGGGGCAAGGGCAGGAGTCCTAAGTGTCCGGCTTGTCAAGTGACAGGCCCTAGGATTTTAGGATGGGGCCGGAAGGGGGAGGTGTTTCTATCCCAAAGCTGCGAGCCACTTCCGTGAGGTTGGAAAGGTGGGTTTAGCCAAGGTGGGTGCTTTGAACCCAGGAGTTTCATCCAATTGGGTCCCGGCCACTGGGTCCCAATTGGTTTGAATGGAACCCTGGGACTGGACATTTCCAGTGGGCAACGAAGAACGCGTGAAAGCTAAGCAGCTATGTGCGACTCGGGTCGGTTTTCGCGCCGAAGGGTTTTTTGCTTCTCTAAGGAGCGCTTTTCGGCCCCAGTCTTTGGACCTCCTTTTGGTTTATCAGGGTGCCGAAAAGTTACATCTTGGCCAAATGAAATACCGCCTTTACCAAGGCTGTTTCATACGTTTCAACGGGCATCGGGTGTTTGCATAGGTGCTTTGCATAGGTGCCAGGAGACCCAAAAACCTCTAAACATGTCATACCATTTGTTTCCTTTTTCTGGAAGCACTATGTTTCCACACGACAAATTTACAGGTTTTGAGTCTCCAGGTGTGTATGCTTGAATTCCTCCTGTCTATGGGCCAAGCCAAGACACCGGGCCGCCTCCCGTGGAATTTTCTCCACGAGGCGAGTACATGGACTTCCACGGGCGGATGATCCTAGGCGGGGATCAGATCGATCCCGTGAGTCGGGGGTCTCCGTGAATCACATCCGGGGTGGTCCAGAGACGGGGGTCCGTACTTGGACGTTCAATCCACGTCAGGTAAGTAGGTTATAACTATAAGGCAACCCCAGTTACCCCACTTATGACCATGGGCTTTTCAAAGGTGATGTGTAAGCCTTCTTTTTGGTTGCGCAAGGATTTGGTCCTGTTTGTACTGGTTTCCCCGAAGGGATTATGAATTGGGATTGGCCAACCCCTCCATTTTGGACTGCCCAGCAAAAAGAAAGGGTTGGGAAATCCCATCCGGGAGGGTGGTCCAAGGTGGGGGGGTCCCCAAGATTCTCTGAGGCACCCAAAGCAACCCTCAGGAGCCCGGAAATTTTAGGGGTCTCACCTACCCGCCCCCTGTCTCAAAATATGGCTGCCGTGTTCGTGTCGGTTTCCCTCGAAACTAACCCCAAACTCCTAAGCCAAGATGATGTCCAAACCAATGGAGGTTCCAAAACCAGGTCCCCCAGTAATTGGTGCCCGACCTCTCACCCCTTTTTTGGGGAGGGTTCCCCAAAAAATGGGGTGAGAAAGGGCACTACTGGGGGACCTATAGATGAAGGTGACCTAGAAGATGAAGGTGACCTGGATGAAGGTTCCCCCACTAAAGTAGACTACGGAAAAAAAGTTCGGGCACCCTTATTCTAACCTCTCTACTGGAGGACCTAGACCCCCTTCAGGGGAGGCTTTTTGCTGATGCTTGGGGTACCAAACGATGTTGTAATGTTAACCCGGATTAAGCAACCCCTGGTGGATGTTGATTGGGGGGGTGTCCCCTCTTAGTGGGGATTCGGACCACTTTTGGAGGGAACAACCCCCCCATAAAGGGACGGGTTTATTAATCCTGGGTATACAAAACGATGGGTCAGAAGGAGACTCCAGGCCAGGCCCAACAGAAAATCAGACGTGTGAGGCCGGCACTGGCCGTTCCCTTGCCTCACACGAATCCATGGCTGCCTTGTTCTACCTGGAGTCTCCGGATCTGACCCTGAAAAAATGAGAGTGGGACGCTGTGAGCGTGCGCGTTTTTCTCAGCTTTAGCCATAGAAAAGCGCACGCTCAGGGTGACCTGTTCTGTAAAAAATGGTTGGCCATTACCCAAAATACTGTAATGGTTGGGTCATGGAGAGTCTAGGTACGTGGCTTGCCTTCGTGATTTCCTTGACTTCGGATTGTGGATCTGAGAAAAGCCTCCCATGTTCAAGAACCCAGGTTATCATTCATTTGAACCCATATGTGTTGGTGGCTCCCAGCCATCCCCTCAGCTTTTTAGCCTTCTAGTGTTTAGTGGTAGTTTCCATTTAAACCACTAAAAGTTAAACTTTTAGCGGGGGATCTGAGGGCAGCCCAGATGTGCATCCCCTTCTGAAACTTGGCAGGCGACACCTATGCGCCAGCGCCCTTTGTTTATGCGGTGAGGCGGCACCAGCATCATCCAGTCGCTCAGCGCAAATGCCGCAGAGACACGCGGGAAATCATTTTTTTGTTGCAGGGAGTTCCATTAACAACTCACCACCTGAGTTCCTGAACTTTGGTCACTTGTTGGGCCTGGACCATTCTAGTGGCCTTTGCTTGCGTAGTTCGGGTACCTACCTCTTTTTGGCCCAGTCCACTCGTTCGGAGATGAGAAACATACAAACCCAGGATAAAGCCCTGTACTGTTGGCATGTCTTTAGGTGTTTGGTTCCGTTCATGTTTAGTAGTTTGGTTTCCCTCTAATTGGTGGTTTGGTTTGGTGGTTTGGAAGTTAGGGGGCAGCTTCCCATGTACTCTACAACCAGGGGTTCACATCCAAATCCAGTCCCCACCAATCCAAACCAGCAACAAAGGTTTCGGAGAGGACCGCCGCCCTTCCGTTTGAAGAAACCGCCCCGTGAAGAAGCCCCCCCTCCCCACTTCATAGAGGCCCCCCCCCCCCGCCCCTTGAAGAAGCCCCCTCCCCCCCCTTGATAACGCCCCCCCCCTTGAAGAAGCCCTCCTCAAAAAGGCTTGCGTGGGTGTGGGTGAAAATTAAACCACAAAAAAAACACAGGTTTTCGTCCTTGGTTTCATCTACCAGCGTTCCATTTTGGGATTACCCCATTTTGGACCCACAGCCGTGTAAGAAAAAACCAACGCCCCACCCGCTCCGCGGAAGCTTCCGCGCCTTCCGCCTGAGGAGGGCACTTTGTCCATCGAGGCAAAAGTGGGCGCCGCTTCCGAAGCGCCTCTGCGCAGCTTCGCGCTGCACCTGCCGGAGGGGCGGCCCATGCGCAGCTCGGAATGGAATGAGCCCAGGAGTCTATGGACTTTAGTTCCGTTTTGAGGGTAAAGGGGAAAATTAAAAAAGCCTTCTTGAAGGGTCCACTAAAAAATAAACACCCACTCATACTCTTTTCTGTGTACCCCTTTTTTGTGGGGGGGGGTCTATTTTTGGATTTCTTTTCAGCTTGGATTGAACACCACCATATTTTTTACGAGCCGTTCCGCTATTTTGACACATTCCCATATTTGGCTAGTCTCCCAAGAGGCAACCAGCACCAAAACGGGATGGGTATTTGCTGGTTCGATTGGCAAATAATGAGTTGGAATTACTGCGAACTCAACTATCCCTTGCAGTTAGGTTAGGAATGGATACATAGATTCATTCCAGAAACCTTTGAGGCTCCCTACTGAGAAGGAGCGAGGTAAGGCTACATGACTGGGGGCCGAATCCTGTCAAACATCAAACGACCCCACCACAAAGTGGCACATCCAAGACACGGTAGCTGCACAGGAGACCCAACACCCGGACCTCCTGCGGGGTTTTCCGTTTTCCCCTTTGTTCGTCATATTTCGACAGCGTTATATGGCTTTTAAAGACATCATATTTGTAAAACATGATGTCTGTGTGCTGGAAAATCCACTGGAGGTCTTGGCAACAACAACTAATGTTGACCCCGGATCTGTCTAGAACCCGACCTATTCATAGGGGGGTGGGGGCCCAGCCAAGGCCAAGGGTTTATCAATCCCTGGAGTCTCCTTCTTAACCATAGAAAAAGCATGGGGTCCTGACACCTGTTTTTTGAGTAGTGACCCCATCGAAGGGTCACGGAGACTCCGGCTTCGTTTTTTAGGCCCCAACGGCCTTTAGACAAGCTGGCTGATATTGAAGGGACGCCCCTTTGAGAAAGGGAAAAGGGCATCAGAGGGAAACACAAGGCTTGCATCGGCCAGCAGAAGCAACTAAACGTTGTTTTTTGCAACAGTACCGATCTTTGTAAGCTGACCACCAAAATGGAGTCAAGCCCCCAAGAGTGACTAAAGTCCATAAACTCATCATATCCCCAGTTTTGAAACTGTGACTGCCCATGGGTGTTAAACAAAACAGCAAGTTCCGATGGCCGTTAGAGGCGGTCAGGGCCCCCTTTTTGAAAAATAACGCCAAGGGCGTTAGAGGCGGTCCTTTTTGAGGAAACTCCAGGTATAGCAACCAGTTGCCCTCCAGATTTTCCCATGGCCGCTACAGAGTGCCCCAGGCCAAACAAAAACGGAACGAAGCTCGAAGCTCGAAAGGTGTGGAGCTGAGCTCTGCCACCTCGGTAACGTTGACCGGGGAGCACTATCTCCACGCCGCCATTTTCCACCGCTTCGCGAAAGAACGGCCCCAGGAGTGAGCACATTCGGGAGTGCAACCAGGGGCTTCCCCATGGTAACGCCTAGAGGTAAACATGCCGAAGGGTTATTTTCTGTGGCGAAACGCCTGGGAAGCACTGGAGTGGGTCAACGTTTCGGTCAAGATTGGAGCGTTGGCCAAGATGGGCTAGCTTCCATTTGGTTCAGAATATGTTTTATATTTTTGCCCGGTTGGCTTTCAGTGTATTTCCCCCATGACTGGGGCAACATTTGGGAGCATCTTACCACTTTGCCGTTGACTAACATGATGACTAGCCGAAGATATTTACATCCTAGGCTTAGGCTTGAACGAAGAATTGAGCGTCCGCCCGCAAACCCGAAATTCGAGATGGTGACCGGGGCTTTGCCCATGGTAAAATCTAGAGGTTCTCGGGGTTCTCTGTTCAAAGCGAATCGACCGGATCTGACATTCTGGTTTTTGCTTTTTGGTCCACTTGAAATAAAGGGCCCAAAGGTTAGCCTTGTATTTTCAGGTCCTTTGGGCAGCTGAGCTTTGCGTCTTTTCCTTTTATGCTTCGACGGTTTGGGAAGGATGCCAGAGGCCGATGAATAAAGGTGGCAAATGAGTGCACGATGCACCTGTCTGATCAAAGACCCCTCAAGACAATCAGTGTTCTTTGGATTTCCCTTGAGGTCCTTTCCAATCCCAGTGAATCCAGGTTACCCCTACCTAGACTCTCCATGACCCTTTAAAAATGGGTCCATGACCCCATTATTTTGGGTAATGACCCCTTTTTTTAAGGGTCATGGAGACTCCAGGTATAGTTGGCAATCAAAGGAAAAGGAGAACTCGGTTTTATGAATGCCTCCGTGAAGGGCAAGATAATCTGACCAGCGCATTTCGGAGCATTGGGGAATGCAGGGAAACTCAGTTGTTCAAAGCCGATCTTTTGACCTTTTGGTTTTCCCCATGTTGGTCCATATTTAGTCATGGCCCCAAAAGGTTAACCTTTTTGTTTTTGGGGGCATGTACTTTTATCATAGCGTATGTTATTTCCTGCCAATGTCCAACGCGACATTTGGCTCAAGCTTTTACCACGTCAAACTACGCCGCCATAGCGGCAGTGGCTGCTTACGGCGCCGCAACTCGTCCTGCCCCTGGAAAAGGACAGGCCGAGCTTCGCGGCGGTAGGCACGTCTTCTGGTTGTGGGTCGGTGTGTGTGTTTGGTGGTGTCCGCATTGGTTTGCTCTGCTTGCTCACTGTGCGCTGCATTGTTTGCCTGCTTGGTTTGCTGCTTTGTGCTTGCTTTCGGTTGTCTCTGCCCTTGCTGGGTTTCTTTACCTTGTTACAACTGGCACCCTGTTTTGGTTCGTGTTTGGCCAGCCGAGGGCACCGCTTTGCCCTTGGGACTGGGGGACTTAAACAATCTCTTCTTGTTGGTGGGATTGGGCCTGTTTATTCTCTCCCGAAACTCTGTTTCAAACCCTTTCGCAGGTTATCAGCCGTAGGATTCGTCCTCGGTTGGCACCGCGAACCCCATTTAATAACAACCCTGCAGGCGCCGTTTTCCATAGGCTACTGTAGGACTCATGGCGGGAATCACCGAGGATGGACCTCATGTGGTGACCGATGAGTGGGTTCTCGGCCAGGCCGGAATCTTGGACGTTGTGAATGACGGCCAGGTGCCCGGACAGCCGATGTTTTCCGGTCCTGACTTTTTGTCGGACCACACTTTTTCAGAAGCAATGCCTTCAGGGAGATCCAGTGCTACTCGCACTGATGATCTATCGTCTAATGCCTCAAGAGCTAATCGCTCTCAGGGTCATGGGGCTAATCGTCCTGACCATGATGATTCCGTCTCAGGACGTGATGATGACGAGCCCGGTATTGCACCTGGAGCTCAATCCTCATCTTTCCCGGAGCTGATGAATATTGGTCAGTCCGAGTTTCGTGGCTCCCGAGGCAACAGTAGACCTGTGCCAACCAGTAGCATAGTTTTTCAAGCGCTCGGTAATCCCGAACCTGGTACATCCAGTGGAGTTGCATTTGATGTTCATCTGCCGACCGAATCCGGTGGGCTCGATTGGAGAGCCTCATGGCCCAACGACGGAAATATTTTTGGTATGGATTTTGCCGCATGGATGCCAGGGCCACCCGCCCCGTCATCTTTCCCGCAATTCCAAAGCCCAAAACGGGCTGCTGGAAGCGATGAATTCATGCTACCTTTATCGATTGAGAATCTCAATCCTGACGTGGCCAGCCGTAACGTCAGGCCAAGGCCGTCGGTGAACCCGACCATGAGGAACATGTCCCCTCCCCCAGGACTTTCAGGATTTGAGAGCCCTAGGGAGCGTAATATCGTAGATAGATTGGATTTGCATCCCAGTCCGACCCCGAGCAAACGATCAAGGTCAAATTCGACTGGATCGCATAGGGCAAGGGGGATGGATCGGGAAACCGCCCACAGGGGTAACCCCAGTGCGCGGGACTCAGGACGCGGTCGATCAGGTGATCCAGCGTCAATCATTGGTAGAGATCCGCTAAACGCGGACACGCTCGTTAACGTGCTTGATGGAATCGAGGCATTCCAGGAGGAATTTAATAGGTCGAGTGGCATGAGCGCACAAGGTGTTCGCCCTACGCCCAACGCGGCTTCCATTTTCGCCCTAGACGACATGGACGGAGCTAATGTTCCGATAGAATCTGAATCCATGATGGCATCAAGTTCTAGTCGCAATCATACCATCAGTAATGCGACTGATATTGAATCGATGTCTGAGTCTAGAGTGTCCAATGCGACCGACTTGAATGACATTGTCATTGCTGACTCGAGACCTGATGTTCCTATGCGAATGGATAGGCCTGTTGTTCCTAAACTGCCCGTGGCCAAAGGCCTGGGCATGACACAACCCTCTGCGGTTCGTGATGCTAGGAGATCTGCTCCGTATCAGAGTCAATCTCCTAATCGGAGTGAGTTCCCACGGCCATCAATGGCCGTGCAGGATGATTTCAGAACTCCTCCGAGATCTAATCCAATCATGGTTGATTTGTCCACTCCTCGAGATCGCGGATCAGGATTTGGTCCTACGAGTGAGGAGCAACCCAACGAGGTTGCTGATCTTGTAACAGCCCTTGAAAGAGGGAGAGTGGACTCTTCGGTAAGTGCGATTATTCATCGCCTGGTTGCTAAGGTCGAAGACCTTGGGCGTAGGAATGATAGAAGTGATCAATGCATCAAGCAGCTCTCCACTGAGGTTAACTCGTGGAGGGCCAAATACGACCAATGCGTCCATGTGAGTAGCACGTGTACGCAGGCTGCGAACGCGGCCATGCAGCTGTCACAAGGGACTAAGGACATCGTGACCGAGCTTGGCCAACGCGTCAAGATCGTTTCCAATCGCATGATAAGCATAGGCGATGCCCTAAATGAGCGAGCCAGCTATGATGATGTTGCTCGCTCCATCACCCAGGTTCAAACTGTTTTTGAATCTCTTTCTGATCGAGTAACCGGGCTTATAGCTCGTGTTGATATGATCGAGAGATCTCTAGTGGAGAGCCAATCCAACCATCCTGCTATTGGTGGAGTGAACCTCAAAATCGAGGACCTGTCCACTAGGGTATGTCAGATTGATAGGATGATGCAAGATGTCGAACAACGCTGGACCAACAATAGGGACGGCATAAAGTGGGTTAAAGACCAACTTTATGAGACACAAGCCAACCTTGAGATGAAGTCAAGGGACTGCAAATCCTACACGGACAAGCAGAATACTCATAACATGGCCGTTTCGACTACGCTCAACAGTAAGCTCGAGCAAATGCTCGAGGTGCTGGGTAATACGGCCCAGAGAATTAACTCCCTTGAGTCAAGGCACTCGAACCAGGCCTCAAGTAGTGGATTGAACGATCACACAGGAGGAAGGCGAGCCGCGTCCCGTACTCCGGATAAGCGGCCACCTCCACCTGGCCCTCCTGATGGTGATCCTCCACCACCTCCTCCTCCAGATCGGCAAAGCCCAGGAGGAGGGGGGAAGAAGAGTGCCGCCGGTGGGAACCCTGGCGACCCTGGTAAACCCAGATGTAAATACGTAGGTGATGGTTATAATCACCTCATGGCCGAGTTTCACTGCAAGGGATGCAGAGGTGATATTTGTGAGTATTGTTTCTCGTTCAAGGAGAACTTGTGTGAAGAATGTTCCCGTAACGGACCCCGATGCGGTGTCTGTAGGGAGAGCTCGTTCCTGACCAAGGGATTGAGTGTCAGTTTTGCAAGACCTACTACTGCACCAGACATTCTGCTGGGCAGGATGACTACAGGAGATTTGGATTTGTCCAGGGTCCCTGTTGTCTTGCGTGCCTTAGGGACGAGACTAGGAGAAGAAGGGATCCCGATGGTAACCGTGTCAGGAATAGGTCGCCTGGAGGCATACCTGAAACGAACCCGACGCGGTCGTTCTCGCCGCCTCTGCGGCCACCCGTTGACAGATTCCGTGACACCCCAACTGGGGGTCAGCCCGGTGCGGCTAACATTCAGAGTCCCCCGAAGGCTACGCACCCCGTGCCCCTGGATAAACGTGAAACCGGATATTATCCAGGATTTGATCCCAACGGTGCAAGGCCGAAGGATCCTTCAGGCCTTGAGCCGCCGACCATGCGTGGCCCCGATCCTCCTGACAAGAAATGTCGGATGTGTGATCGGGATATTCCTGATCCCAGTAAAATTGAGGAATGTAAGATATGCATGAAAAGGGCATGTGAGATTTGTATTCCGAAGGCTACACGCCTTTGTCCTGTGTGTGCATTGTCAATCGGTAGCTCTCAGGTTCCACACCATCTTTTCGGAACTGGTGGCGGCGGGTACAGTAGCCATCATGATCCGAACTGTACAGCTGCGACTAAGTGCATTTCCATAGACCTCCCGCCAGAGCCCGACGCGGCTGGGCTGAGGGTATGGATAGCCAATATGAAGGAAGCTGTTAGCAATGCCTACAGCTATGATGGACTTTACGTCATCAATTGGCTAACTGAAGTCGAG